ACAGTATATTCAGAAAAACTATCGTATTTGCACGAATGAAATAAATAATCGTAAATTGAATGAACAATGCTATTAAACTTTACAGTTACCTTATACACATTAAAATAAATTAATATCAACGTATAACTCTTTTCATTCATTACACGCAATTTTATCAATATTTTACCAGAAGGTTTTAATTAATAAACGAGACTGGAATATCTGTAACAATATATTCAAAAAAAAACCTCGTCGTATTTGCACCTTTAAGAATAAAAAAAAAAAAAAAGACCACAAACTGAATGAATAATATTCGTTACAGCTATTTTATACGAGGCAACGTTGATGAATTCATATTAACTAACGTTGGTCAAAAGATACGAAAGAATTACAAAAAGAAAGAGAAAGAGAGAGAGAGAGAAAACAAAATCACACGAAACAACCGACTGACGATAGTCGTAGACATTTTTGTCTGGGCGACGATTTATTTTAAGAAACGAAAACCTCCGGCTCTTTAACTTCTTTCTTCCTCCACTTCTTGTCGAGTGGATCCTCTAAAGCGAAGTCGTTCTCGCCATGGTCCATTAATCGCAAGGAATTGCCAGCCGTGCCCGCGTTTTCGTGTAATAAGTCTCTTTGTGGGGCCGGGTTAAATCAACCCCGGTGCATCACGCGCAATCGACACCCAACAACGCACGAGAGATACCACTTTCCTTTAACTTTCGACGACGATTTGCTCGGCACCGACTTGTCGAGAATGCTGTCGTCTCCTCGCTTTCCAAACGGCTCGCAAGCGTCCCGTATTTTTCACGAAACTGAACGAAAACCAGTTCAGAAACTGCTCGCGATGTTTCATTTTAGTCTTGAAACCAGCGCGATTTCGCGATTTCTCGCGGCGCAAAAGTATTTAGTCGATACGCATTTGTCGTTTCGATTGCGAAGATTCTTCTGAATCTGAGAGCTGACTGAGACAGATGGAAAGAGAGACGTGAGATTGTCTCGTGGATTAATTTGAACGAAGCTAATTTAATTTTATCTATCTGGTCGTTCGATAGAAAATATTGAACGACTTGAGATTTTCGATTCGTTGTTAGATTTTTGTGTTTCACAAAGAAAATGATAAGGAAATAATTAACAGGGTAACTCAGTGTTTACAAAAATTAAATATACACCTACTGGAGTATTTTAATACGCTGAACCAGCAAAATCTGTTTCTCTACGTCGATTTTATAATATTTCTTGCTTGGTGAAATCCGATAATATGTTATACACTTTATCAACTCTCTAGCGTAATACAATTTGTTTCTAAAAATCTTTTATCAATATCTTCTTTCGATGTTAAGGATAAACAATTGAAAGAACAGGAACAATTCGTTTCAATCAACAATTTCAACTTTCAACTTTCAGTGAAATTATCTCAGAAACAATTTTTAGTACTTTATATCCGCAAATTAACATAGTTTCAAGTTCGACTAACCACCATTAAAATTCACACGAAAATTTATATTACAGTTGCTGCGGATAATACAACTTGAAAATTTATTATTTCGGAAACGTTGTAAAGTAATATTAAAATTCCGGCGATATTCATATTAGAAATGTTCAGAAATTAATAATTCCAACGCATTCTCTAACGAAAGTAATCAATGAAAACAGCATAAATTCCACCGATTTCGATATTCCACACGTTCTGCGTGGGGAACATTTTACGAAAAAAGGTATCAATTCTTACTCAAGTCACAAACAACTCGCGAGGCTCAATTAAAATTCTATCAACCCTCCGCGTACCCTCCCCCCTCCACCCATCAGTGGAAAACTTCGATTCCACTTTCAATCAAGTCCTATTGAAAACGCGGAACTTGCGCTTAAAGCGTCTGAAAAAAATCTCTGTTGAAATTCTCCGTCACCGACTATCACTTTCCAAATTCAATCAGGACTTCCAGCCCAATCAATCTCACTTAATACCCTTTCTCTCCACCGGACAAATTTTTCACGTTACTCTCACGCTGCGCGACAATCAAGCTTTATAAAAGGAAAAAGGAAGAACGAAAGAAAGGAAAAAAGGATCGAGAGCACGTGGCTCTCGACGAACGAATCTGTACAGGGTGGAAAGAAAGTTTATCCGCGATGATATCGTGGACGAGATTGTGGCAAATTGACCGCTACCTTAAATTTTCTGTCATCTGTTCTGCTGTATCCTACTTGTCGCGAAGGTGAAACTTTTTCAAGGAACCTAATAGTTCTCTTGGAAAAACTTACACTGCGGACGCATGGGTTCTAACAGCGACTTTATAGTTCTGGATGAAGTTTGACTACGTTTGACTTATCACAGTTATAGCATCAGCGTGTGACTAAATAATCAAATGATAAAACTCTATGAAACTGTTAACGTTATTCGACGTACGAAACTTAAAACCACGCGTTCGGAATCATAAAGTCGCTGTTAGAACCCACGCGTCCTCAGTGTAAATTTTTTTTCAAGAGAATTATTAGGTTCCTCGATAAAGGTTTACCCTCGTGATTAGTAGAATACAATAGCACGATGCAAGAAAAAAATTTTTGACTTTGAAATTAGACCTATCGCACAAACTTTTCTTTCCACCCTGTATGCCGAAATTTCCAACGCGTCGAGGGATCGAAAATTAAACACGTTTGACGTCGATCGAGCGATCGGGTCGATTTTATGCGAGTTTCGTGCACGTGCACGCGTGTCATTCTGAATTCTTGTCCGTAATCGGTCGCGAGTTACGCGACACCGGATGTGACGGTGTTCATTTAGCCCGTCCCTTTCGCAAACTCGCGTTAACATCCTCCAGACGGATGCGAAACCCCGCCATTGACGTCTACGGAATGAACCCAGCTCGCCTTTCGTCGACGTGAATACCCACCGTGCGCTATTAATTAAGGCCTTCGCCCTTCCCCGGACCATTTTCATTCACGTTTCTGAAACACTGCTCTGCGATCGCGATCTCTCGCGATCCAACCTTTTCAACAACCATGAATCTCCGTGTTTCTCCGTGGAGTGTAGTTTGATGGATCGTTGCGACCGTGATTATTGGACGATACATTGGGCGAGTGACGAGCCGTGGACTCGTTAATTGAATGAAATTAAATTTTATTGATTGACTCGTAAAAATCAAATAAATCGGTGCGTCCGTGCGAGAAATCCAAAGCACGTATCCAAAGTGCAGTGATTTTTACAACATGCATATTTATGCATGTCAATAACGTCAAATAATTTTGAATTTTCAATTTGTCAAAAATACGAATATATCCATATCACTGTGGACAGAATTATTTAAACATAGGAGAAAATTAGAAGACGTCGATAGTTTCCTTATCGTAATATTATATTTATTCGTATAACTATATTAATATTCAACTAATTAACACAGTTTTATTTGTGTGAACGCAAATTACATGGATATTAATAATCGCATTGCAAAATGAATTAGAAACTGTTTTGAACATACTCTAGTTTGCAAAGTGAAATCAACCGATACAACGTGTGAGCTGTTACACGTAACGCTATTTAACCTACTAATACACACGACCTAAATGTGAAAATTACGAGTAGAATTACATTCTGCGATAGTTGTTTCGCATTGACATGTAATTGAGCGTTTTGGTAGAAATTTAATGGTAAAAGGAAAAGAGAAAATATACTATTTTTTTTTTTAATGATTGTAATAATTATGGTCAAATATTTCCTTCGTAATTTTTTCGTGAGAATGAACGGCAAGTTATCTAACGATTAACTCGATATTGCGGAAGAAACTGAAAGCTAATAGTACACGTTATTTTCTGTAAATAATATTACAGTATTTCTTCTTTTTTTCTTTTTTTTTTTTTTTAATAATTTGTCTAGTATCATACATATACGATTGTTAATATAGTATTTTATGTTCGTTTAAACAACTGTAACTTGGATTAATTACTTGCAATTGTTAAGCGAATATAACTTGAATTGATTACACATTTCCAACAATCACAGGATAATCAATGTAATTTGCAAAATCGCTCGAAACTCGGTGATTCAAGTAATTAAACAAACCAATCACGAATTTATTAATAAGAGGAATTTACTTAACCGACAATTGTACTTCGATAATAATCAACAACGAGAAAAACATGAATTCACAACATTTATTAACACCAACAATATTTCGAAAATCCCAGTTTCAGAAGTGAAACAGAAAAATTTCACTTTATAGAATTTCTTTTCATAATAAGAACAATGAGTAAAAGTTTCCCTTTCGGAATAAGGTTAATAAAAAAAAAGTAAAACACTGAAAAAAGTCTGGTAAAAAGAAAACTCGTAAAATCGCTTCAAAGAGATATTGTTTTGAAAATGCTGCCAGAAATGCCAGGAACAAATAAATCTCGCAATAAATAAAAGCGATAAACAAAAGCAAAATATTGAGAGAAGTTCGGTAAAAAGAAGACTTGTAAAAAATTCTAAAACCTCTAAACTCTCAAGAGATTTATTTATTTCTATCACTTATTTCTCAAAAATATTGTCGTAGGAATAGAACAAATTTCACGACAAAAAAATAACAAATAAAAGAGAAGCTTGGTAAAAAGAAAAGTCGAAAAATCTCTTTAAAAAACGGACAATGAAAAATATATCTGTCACCTATTTCGAAAATACATTTACTCTCATACTAGCCCTGGCGAAAAGCAGGTATTTGAAAGCATATCAAATTATATTTAATATTAAATAATAACAATAAATAATTATATTTAATATTAAATAATAATAATAAATAATTATATTTAATACTAAATAACAATAATAAATAATTATATTTAATATTAATTTCGTGCTTAATAATAAAACTTTATTTAATATTACTGTGGAAAACTGAAACCAGTGATTTTATTTGGATTCTCTCGTCGTTAGAAACATCTCAACGTTTTTAAACACACTCGCGTTCGATCGAAAGCTTTCCAGTTTAGGGGTAGTAAAAACGAAGCGATAAAATTCGACGATAAAAAAAAAAAAAAAAATAGCAAATTAAAGTGAACCGTTGAGAGGAAGGAGGAAATTGATGAAACTCCATGAAACTTATGCCACGAGTTTCGTACGAACGAATCTCGGAACGTTTCCCGTCTCATCGGCGCGATATTTACGAGTTGAACAATTCCGGGGGATTGAAGCCAGACGGTGACGTGACGACTCGGCGCCCGACGTCGATTCATCAGTGTCGATAAGCTTCTTGAAAAAATGCGTCTATCGTCGTTGACGCCTGGTAGTATCGAAGGATGAACCATGCACGGCCAGTTACGCAATTAACGCCCGCATCCTGCACAATCATCTGCTGTTACTCGAAATCCAGTTTTCGTCACTTGTTATTGACGCCGTCGACCTCGTTGGAGAAATATAAAATTACGGGACACTTCGAAAGTCGAACATTCGACGAAAGTTTCTTCCCATCTGTCTCTCTTAATAAAACATCGAAATACAAGGGAGAACTAATTTTATTAGTTTTGAATTAAATTCAAGTTCAAGCAATTACTTCCTTCGAATGTCGCCCGAGCAATTCGCAAACTAAAAAACATTATGGATTCACTTTAGTAGGAAGTGACTTTTGGCCGATAACATCTGAAACGCAAGATATGTACTTGACAACTTGCAGAAGTTCCAATCTCTGAAAGTGACGATTTTCTCTGTTTGTCACTGCGTCTATTCCATTGTGTTCAATTGGTTTAAAAAAATTCTTTTGACTTGTTATTGACGCCGTCGACCTCTCTGGAGAAATATAAAATTACGGGACACTTCGAAAGTCGAACATTCGACGAAAGTTTCTCCCCATCTGTCTCTCTTAATAAAACATCGAAATACAAGGGAGAACTAACTTTATTAGTTTTGAATTAAATTCAAGTTCAAGCAATTATTTCCTTCGAATGTCGCCCGAGTAATTCGCAAACTAAAAAACATTACGGATTTACTTTAGTAGGAAGTGATTTCTGAAACGCAAGATATGTACTTGACAACTTGCAGAAGTTCCAATCTCTGAAAGTGACGATTTTCTCTGTTTGTCACTGCGTCCATTCCATTGTGTTCAATTGGTTTAAAAAAATTCTTTTCACAATCGTCAATTCTCTATAATTAAATCAAAGTGGAAAGATCTTACTCCTACGTAGTTAAACATTATTTCAATAACAGTGAATCAGCATCATTTTTATTATCTCATTATTTATTCATCATGTATTATGTTTATATATTAATACTCTCATCCCGTTTGTCTCTATCAGTGCTACGACGCTGTTTAATTTTTACCTTGAATTTTACATTTGCCTTTCTTTTTTCTTTTTTTGTTTGAACAGAAATTAAAAATACCAAAATCACTCGGAACAAAGTCGCAAAATATCAATCTGTCGACCGCCTTACCCCGGACAATATCGATCTCTTTAATTAAAACGAGCACGAATGAACACACTCTGCTGTCGCGAGCTTCAGCGTATCTATATACTCAACGCGAGAGGCGCTTCGCTCGAAAAAATTTCATTTCGCTTCTTCCCTATCGAAGAGAGCATTTAAAAAAGAAACGAGAGAAAAGAGGAGAAGAGAGTGAGATTAACTACCGAGGGGAGCCGAAAACTAATAACTAAACCGCGAGATCGAGAAAAACTGGAGTAGCGCACAATCGTCGACCACGAGGAATCACTTATAAATTGACGTCCACTTATCGACCCTTCGAGATACCGTGGCTTCGAGAGGCCGACAAACACGCCTTCAGTTCCTGCTTTCTTCCCAACACGCATGGATAACCACGCGCGGTATAAATAGTTCGTTGTTAATTGGAAATCGCGGTGTGTGTTTATTACATCGGCCCGTTTAATTCCGCAGCTCGCCGGACTGTTACACGCATTATTACTGTTGTTCAATCACCGTGTGAAATCACAGATTTTCGAAGCTGAGATTATAGATCTTGGCAACAATGTTGCATTCGAACGAGTCGAATTTTCGTCGATTAAAAAATTGTTAATCGTTAAGAGCCAAGAGTTAAGGAATTGTCAGGAAATTATCAAGAGTTATAAGAGGTTTCAATTTTACTGTCAGACACGTCAGCCGCTTGAAGCGCAACAATTTTTTATCAAATTTTTAACAAACCGAGAACTGTAAAAATCTCGAATATCGAGGATTAAAAACATATATTTCTCGCGATACCGGAACGATCAGAAAATACAAACGTAAATCACGTAAATGCTAAAAATACTGAAGTGATCAATTCCATCGAGGATCGGCGCGAGCAATCAAACTCACGACGTTTGAATCAAAAATTGAAAGCCGAAAATGGCGCTCGATATTTTTACTTCCGAGAATTTATATATTGAAAAGGAATTGTAAAAATAAAAATATCGAAGTTTCAAACTCGCTGACGCTTTGCTAGATAACTTTGCAGTGGGCATTCTGGTTGGTTACGTAAGGGTTGAACAGCGATCCCGCTTTCGTTTCGTTTGAACAGCCTCCCCCTCCTTCGATACGTATTCCCTTCGATCGAAGAAGAAAAAAAGAAAAAACTCGCGCGTTTTCCGCATCACAGACGGCCGTCCTTTTTAAATATGCATGTTCGAGCGAGTTTAACTTGTTTCGGGGGGAGGTCCGCTTTCATATTTCCGCTTTGAAATTTTCATTAACCCCCGCCTCTGGTTCACCGATCAACAAGTCCAATTAAACACGGTGTTTGTCGTTCGCTGCCGCGTAATCCGCAAACGCGTTTGATTTTGTTCTTTTTTACGCCGCACTCTTCGACGCTTTCAATCTTACTGTGTCCCTCAAATTTTTATGCCCTGTGTAAATACACAGTCTGAATGGGACTGAAAGCGGACGCTTAAGAGGGGTGGTGTATTCTGCGAATTGGCATCGAAAGAACGTCAACTGTTTTACCAATATCAGGCATTGTTACTTTTTTTTTTTTTAGTTGTAGTAGTTAATTTCATTTGAATTTTATTTAAATTTTATTTAAACTGAATATATTGAAACTATGTACTTTTAAAACTGAGCGCTTTTAAACTAAATAAAGAAATAAATTATGATTAAGCAATAATTATCAAACGATTGTAATTAATCTTAAATTTTTCGAAAATTTCTGGAAAAAGCAAGGGTAGTTGTTAATTAATAATTATCAATAACTGAATGAATAAAGCTCTCGTTATATTTCCATCGATATTAAATTATCAGTACACATAGTATGATTCCATAATCGTATTAATATAATATAAATTGGATACGTATTTGTGTACCATTTTTATTTATAGTGATTTGCGAAATCCAAATCCTGGTAAAATGAAAATGTAAGTTTCTGAATGTCTGAGAAAATCAAGTGTTGGTATAAATGTCGAGAAAACAAATGTTGTTCAATGGTGTAAATGTCCAGATTTCTTTCGCCTATAGGATCAAGAAAAGATGTATTAAAATTTCGAAAATAATAACAGTGTGTTTGCTCCTGCTGGTAAGGATAAAACTGACCACAGAAATAAATTAACTTGATCGTTATTTAAAGAAAAAACTTTTATCACGAAAATTGTTGCAGTGAAATTTAAAGATCCTAGGACGCATAAAATTCCCGTTATGCGAATGGAAAAAATTATTTCACTAAAAACTGTCTAAACTAGTTGTCACACTTCTACGATATGTAGAATAATTACAAAATATTATACTTTGTCGTTTCAAGAAAACAATTTAATAATTCTTTACTAATGGAGCAACGTCGGTCAAATATTGGAACATCCTGGAATGACATGAAAATCCTCTAACATTTAAAAAAAAAAAGTTAAATAATAATAATATAATATAGTTAAATATAATTAAATAATAATAATAATAAAATATAATATAGTTAAATAATAATAATAATAATAATAATTCTCTCTGAATCTTCTGGAAAAATATTCGTTTGAGAGATGTTAAAAATGTTTTGTCATTTATTTATTCGAAATTTCGAGTATCGGGCACCTGAAAATTGAACTTAAAAGCACAATTACCGGAATAACACGAGTTAAAAATATATACGTATTCTGAAATCGAGAGACAACCTCGGACAGGTTTCCGTTTCTTTCAGAGCGAAACGAAACGCTGTTCTCGTCCTCGGAATTGAGCCAGGATGAGTCAGTGGTCTCGACAAAGAACGCGAGGCGCGAGAATTTCAGAAGCTTTGTTATGAATCAACGATATCGATGTGGTGAGAAGCGTTCGGTATCCGGTAGACACGAAACCGGCGAAATATAAATCATATTATTGCTTACGTAAGACCGAAATGTGTCACCAGGGTCTTTTATATATCGTCGCGATAAGAGGAGGGAAACGACTCGTGACTAATTTCACATCAATGTAATTTGGACGTGTGTCCTGTTCGCGAGTTTGGTCAAAGAGCTTTTGATTTTTATTTGGTTAAAGAGAAAAAGAAACAATTTAATTACTTGTAATTATATCTGGTTCGTGATATTTTTAATTTTAATCCTGATTTTAAATTCGTCGAAATTTAACCAAAATTTTGTACAATACAATCTGGAAGTATAATTTGATCAAAGTTTATAATATTTAGAATTTTTAGTTTCCAGGTCTTTCGATCTAGTTTCAATTTTAAATTCATCGAGATTTAACCAAAATTTTGTACAATACAATCTGGAAATATTATCAAAGTTTGTAATATTTAGAATTTCTAGTTTCAGGTCTTTCGACCTAATCTTAATTTTAAATTCATCGAGATTTAATCAAAATTTTGTGCAACATAATCTGTCTAATATAAACGTCTAATGTAGAAATTTTTGTTCACAATCTTGTGATTTAATTGACTGCAATTTCACCGCGTTGCGTAATAAAAATTACGTAACACGGTGAAGTCTTACACAAGAAAATTGGAATTCATACCGCGTGCAAAATCAAAGACGACTGTTGGGCACTTGATAACTTCCGACTGCATAACTCAGAGCGACGGCGATTATCGAGTTTCGATTAAAAATTAATTTTCGTCAGCGTCTGCACAATTGCGATCGACAAAAGCGAGTTCAACGAAGAGCGGAGAAGGAAGAAGTGGCTCCCTTTCATTTGCATTCGCCTTTCGCAGGGCGGGCTCGTTGAAATTAAATCAACAGCCTGTTATAAACACTTTAGCAGCGAAGTGCTTTTGACGTCACGATATTAATGAGGAATAATTATAAGCGGATCTTCGTTACGCCGTGCAATTTACATGGATTTATTCGCGCACGAATTTTCCACCACTGCGGGGGGGCGCCAAACAGAGAGATCTCTCCCGAACTCTAATCAAATTTCGATCAAAGAGACAATAGCCCGGATTGC